ACGGAGAGCTGACCCGAGGTCCTGATTGACCCGCTCCGTCTGGCCGTTGGTCTGAGGGTGGTACCCAGACGAAAGGCTGACCGACGCCCCCAACGCTTGGCAAAAGGCTTTCCAGACCCGAGAGGCGAACTGAGGCCCCCGGTCCGACACGATATCCAGAGGAATGCCATGGAGTCCGAACACATGTAGGACGAGGAGGTTGGCAGTCTCTAGAGCCGAGGGGAGTTTGGGCAGAGGGACGAAGTGCACAGCCTTGGAGAAACGATCAACTATAGTAAGGATAACAGTGTTACCCTCCGAAGGTGGGAGTCCAGTAACAAAGTCTACTGCAATGTGGGACCAGGGGCGGTGGGGAATCGGCAGTGGGCGAAGGAGGCCTGCGGGCGCTTGGTGGGAGGATTTGCTGCGAGCAAACGGAGCAGGCTGAGACAAATTCCCTGGTGTCGGCTGCGATGGTAGGCCACCAGAAACGCTGCCGGAGGAGTGTGAGGGTCCGGTGAGAACCGGGATGACAGGCGATCTTTGAAGCATGTCCCCACTGGAGCACGGAGGACCTGGCCGTGGGCGGAACAAACAGCCGATCTTGGGGGCAGTCCTCCGGGGCGGGTTGGTCACGTAGTGCCTCCTGGACCACCTGTTCGACCTCCCACCTAGCTGCTCCTACCACACAGGAGGCAGGGAGGATGGTCTCCACGGGAAGGTCTTCCACAGGGGAGGAGAACTAGCGGGATAAGGCGTCTGGTTTTATGTTCCGCGACCCAGGACGGTAGGAGAGGGTGAACTGGAAGCGGCCTAGGAACAGGGCCCACCGAGCCTGGCGCGAGTTCAGACGACGGGCCGAGCGTAGGTAGGAGAGATGATGACTTCAGCCGGGAGATGATTGGTTCTCGGTGGACCCCAAAATGCAGAGACAGGAGACGAGATGGTCTTCAAAAGGTTTAATCCTCACAGCAGGATACACAAAAACACAAGGCGCTGGAAGCGGAGGAGACGACGGAGGTTGAGCTGGCTGGGCTGGCGTCGAGCACGGGAGAAGAGAGCCGGGAGCCACGAGTTGCAGCGGGTACGAGCGGGAATACTCTGGCACCGGAGTGACGAGCAGAGCCTGTCTTTATGGCACAAGTGATTAGGTGGGATGGGAACCAGGTGTGTCTCGTTCAGCACCAACCTCGCCCTCCGCCGTCTCCTACTGCCAGGGAAATGGAAGAACACAAAAAACAACAAGTATCAAAAATCACACCACGATAGTTCATTCTGTGCACATGGCATCCATTGTAGTCTGTCCATCCCGGGAGTGGAATCCCTCCTCTGACGTTCTCCCTACGATTTCTTCCATTTTTTCCCTCTTGGAAGGGTTTTTTCATTTTTTGGGGAGTTTTTCCTGTGCCGATGGTGGGTTTTGGGACAGAGGATGTTGTATGTGTACAGACTGTAAAGCCCTCTGAGGCAAATTTGTAATTTGCGATTTTGGGCTATATAAAAAAAAATGAATTGAATTGAATTAAACTAAATCAATGTAAAGAAAAGTATTATTGTCTGACAATCAGATTTTTTCCAAATTCATAAAAATGATTTTCAACAAAAGTATGGGATTTTCAACAAAGGCAAAAAGCCTCAACAGAAGAAAGTAGACCGAGGGTTGAGATACCAAAGGGAATGTTTTTAACAGTACACACTGTTAGTAGTAACAATGTATATATTCTACTTTTGGGAAGAATGTTAAATAGCATTCACTCTTATTATCCACAGTCAGCAGGACTGAAGGAACAAATAAATGCTACAATTAATTAAAAAATTAAGAAAATAATGGTTAAGATGGAAAATACAAACCCAATTCCAAAAACGTTGGGACACTGTATAAATTGTGAATATAAAAGGAATGCAATAATTTACAAATCTCATAAACCTATATTTTATTCACAATAGAATATAGATAACTTTCAAATGTTGAAAGTGAGACATTTTTTAAATGTTAGGGAGTTGGTGCGTATTTCTGCTGAACAGCAAACCCTGCACCAGGCAATGATACAGGAGCAACGACAGCAGAACGCCCTTATCCATGCGGAAATCCAACAGTGTATGGCGCCAACCCACACCCAGCAAAGACACAAACAGTGAGGTGCTGAAGTAGCGTATGGTCCGGGCTTATCAAAAACACAGCTACAACAAACCAGGGAGCTGGTCCAGCAGAATTTGGATGTGTTCTCTGCACATCCCTTATTGAACATCACATTACCACAGAACCAGGCCAGAAGGTAAAATTGCGCCCCTAAGCAAGAAGGGCAGCTGTTGAACAAGAGGTACAGAAGATGTTGGCTCTAGGGGTGATAGAAGAATCCTACAGTGAGTGGACCAGCGCGGTTGTGCTGGTCCTGAAACCCGACAAAAGCAACAGATTGTGTGACTCCTGGGACAGCCATCTGGTAAAGCTGGCAGCAGTCCTGGAAGCTCTTCGCACAGCCGGCTTAACAGCCAACCCCAAAAAGTGCAAGCTTAGTCTGGATGGCAATGTGAGGCCAGAAGACCGCAAAGTCCAAGCAATCCAGGGCTGGACACGGCCATCCACCAAGACCCAGGTAAAGTCATTTTTGGTACTGATCTCCTACTACTGCCGTTTAATCCCAAACTTCTCTGCCGTAGCATCCTCCCTCACAGACTTGACCAGAGCCTCTCAGCCACTCAGCGTTAAGTGGATGGTTACAGCTGAACAAGCCTTCCAGGACCTATAGGAGGCTCTCTGTTCACAGCGGGTGCTGTTGACCCCTAACTTCAGCCGGGAGATGATTGTCCAGACGGATGCCTCAGATGTGGGCATAGAGGCAGTACTCTCCCAGGAAGTTCGAGGTGAGGAACATCCCATTATATATATCAGTCGGAAACTAATATGCCATGGTAGAAAAGGAAGCTCTCGTCATAAAATGGGCTTTGGAACTCCTCCGTTATTATCTCTGGGGACGCCACTTAACTCTGGTGACTGACCATGCTCCCCTAATCTGGATGGCCAATAAAAAAGAGACCAACACAAAGGTAGGAAATGTTTCATGGAACGAACAATGTTATTAATTGCAAGTGCTGGGATGGTAAGGCCATGAAAAAGAATTGAGCTGGAGTGTCTCACACTGATAAGATCTCTTGGCTGTAGAGACACAACAAGTTGGTTTGGAGGCCAAGAACTGCCTGGCCCTGTTGTGAAGGGAGGAAGGTTCTTGGCAGTCTACTGAGCACGTAGCTGTTGTGACCCTTTTCACCATGCAAGGAAATAAACAAAGATATTTATCTACTGATCCTGCGTTCCTTATTCTTTGCACTTCCTTGACCTCCATCTCTCCACACTATCCACACACTGGGAAAAGGGTGAGGCCTTTAAACCTCTGCGCTAAATATGGGCTGATAAGATATGTTCTCCCGTATTGTCTTTCTCCATCTGTCAGTCTGAAGTTTTTGCATCCTAGATGCCTTTATACACACCTAATATCTCTACAAAGACACCCTGATACAGGAACTCCCATTATTCACCTGCAGGACAGGGCGACCTGTGAACTCCTGGCCCTTGGTCGATCAGTTAAGAAGGGGGGACTCCGGGACACCAAAAACAACATGTACCTCCACTTAACAGAGTGTCTGATTGACTTGGCAAACAAAGGCTGGAGGTAACAACCACAGCTTGTATGAACTGTATCTGCAATCATTACCCGGGCCTGCGTGCGGCTTTAACACAAGAGGGCTGACCCTAGCTGCTGTTAGAGGGAGAACGCGCACGTGTTCATGCGTGATATCGCCAAATCCTGTCACGAAAGGATTGTTCGCGCAGATAAACAGCCTTCTTTGTTGATATCTCATTTGCAACAGTCCAGAAATCCCATGAACACATGCAGCTAACTGAGGGATAGACACACAAATACCAATTAAATTTTTTTTTTTTTTTGAGAAATCTGTCATTACAATTTATGCACCAAAAACGATGTTAAAAAGGTGAATCAACTTTATTTTGGGTGTTTGCTTAAAAAAAAAAAAAAACCCACAACATCATTTTTTTCTATAAACGCCATTAATATGAGCCGTTAATATCTATAGACAAAGAAATCACCTACAACGCATTCACACATTGTGCACTAGTTTGGTTCAACATTTTTGTAAAGGATTAGTGCTGTGATAGCACTACTAGTTAGTTCACACTTTGGTAACAATCTGCTCAATTAATATTCATTTTCATTGGATGTTAAATTGAAAAATGGAGGAGAGGAACCAGGCCCTTTCAGCATGACACAAGCCCCCATGCGGCATAACACAACTGTCCTGTCCATTAACAACTGTCCATTAACACGTGGGGAAGTTAGTAGGTTGATTTTAGCCAGCTGACAAGTAAGTCAGCTTACAGTGTGTTTTTGTCCTCTGCCCAGGCATTGATTCAGTATCTGGTCAGACATTGTGAAACCTGGGAGTATCCCAGCTTCATCAATCCAACTCCCAGACAACTGCGGGCAAAGGCAAATGTTTGAAACACTTCAGATAGCTGACTGATTGACTCATTATTTTTCGCAGCATCAAAATGTAAAGGATAAGTGAACTGCACCACTATTAGACCTGTTCCCATGTCAGCTGGGGCACACGATATACAGCTACGGAGCTGAAACTTGCCTCCAATCGAACGTTTTTCCTAAGATGAAAGGCTTATTGGTTAATTGGTTGTGCTGAGTTCCGCCAAATAACTTGTATAATGGAAGGTCCCACAGAACTCTTTTCCAGCTAAACTTGAACTGTGTGCATCAACTCATACAAATGATCCGCTTGACCTTGGGAACTCTCACAGACTGAAAAAACCCTGTCTGTACATCATTTGATTGTCTCCCTTTTGATGTCTGCATTGATTTACTGTGTTTAGGTATATAAAAACTCTGACTAGGATGCTCTCGGTATCGATTCCAGAGCAGCTGCTTGATTATGAACTGTTCAGCTCGGTGCTTCTGCGCAAAAATTACACTACAATATACAAAGACAAATTTCTCTTTGTAGGTCTCCCTTTATTCGGTTTCCACCACACAAAACAGCTTGACGTTAAAAAAAGCCAGACCCAAGTAAAACAATAGAAACATTGATCATAAAAACCGAAAAAAACCACAATTCAACAGTTGCATAGATCATTGTCACGTCAGTCTAGTAACATTTAGCTGCACGGATGGAGGGTAAATCATCACCATCAACATTTACTCCTCAGGGACAGAACTCCAGAGCTCCTAATACATTCTTAAGTTAACATTAAGGCAAAACAGACAAGTAAAGTAAATAGGGAAAGTGGTTTATCATGTTTTTTAACATCATAAACTGTTGGTTGCAAAGTTGTTTAAGACTAAAACTTTAATACACTTTAATTTTAACATGTTAATAGTTAAATTTAAAAAGTTTGTCTGTTCTTTCTTTGGGTATTCAACCACATCTCTTGGTCATCATCAGCATCAGGAGTTTGCTCAGTTTTCCTCTTATGATTACAACTTTTGCAATGGCTCTGTTGCCCAAGTTATTTTGTTTACATTTCTGTCATGTTGCATAATAACCCAGTTTTCTTGAGATTTGTCAGGTCAACGATACGAACGGTCAAACAATATCATTTGAGCTTTCTGATTCCAGCATCCTTACTGATCAACCATTATATGTAAAATAGCTTACATGCTGTGCTCAAATGGCAAAATATACTGTCAGATATTGTCCCTAATTAATGACATACAGAGCATTATTTTCTTTTGGTGAATCACAAAACTACACCTTTGTATTGACAGGTGATTCACATTTGAGTGTAATTTGTATTAACCTAAACCACACCCTGATAACCAAGATCGTTTCAGTTGCTTTCACTTAATCATTAGCTAATCTTTTCGAACATTTGGTTTCAGAAGGAATGTTTGTCCACCAAACATCTAATCTGTGTTGTGTTAAAGGGCTGAAGAGCTGAATACCTGTGGTGTCATTGTGATTTTTAGCCATGGCTCTCTTTGACTAGCATGTAGTTTTCCTCTTAGTTCTGATGAATAAATATCTCGATCCAAATTGCGGTTTCTCTGCATATTACCCCCTCTGTGAAAGAGGTTTGGGTTTGTCTGAGTCTCACAATGAAGACTTAAATTTACTTAATCATGTTACAATCTATGTAGCATTTCAAACCACTAAACATGACGTGGGTTTGGGCATAGGGTTGAACATCTGGCTGCACATGCTAATAACTGCTGACCTACACTAATACCATATATTATGATAAAGCTGCGAACTTTGTCATGTCATAAGCCAATTAATTTACAGAGTCATTAACATTAATACTGTTGACACAATCTATACGATTGCTTTACTGTAAAACACGCGTACCCACGTGAAGTCATCTCATTCCTGTATTGCATTGTCTACAAACAAAAAGTTAACTGTGAAATAAGACAAATGCAAATATTTTTGTTAAATTTTACCCTCTTTGTTTTTTGTCCTTTCAAGTCAGTTGTCACGAAACATGTCACATCAGAGAATATTTCAGCTATATTTTAAATGAACACAGCAAACCCAAATGGAAACGAACGGCAGCATCACGAGAGGTTTATCAGATCCAGTAGCTGCGTGTGAGGGAGCCGTGGCTTTGACCTGTCAATCCTCGGCTCCCATTAAGGATCGGCTGACAAGCACAGGGTGGCACAGATTGGGCTTGTGCGAGCCCTATCAGTGTTGACAAAGAAACAGATGACCTGTGGGCTCGGGCCAACACAGTGGCAACACCCGCAGACGGGAAGAATTGCTCAATTTGCTGATAATGCAGCCTGTGCTATCTGCTTCTGATTGCTTTACAGCTGTGCATCCAGGGACAGTTTGCTTTAGAGCTTAGGTGGCCGAATGTCACTGCAGCGAACCAAATTCATTTTATTATTTTTAGCATGAATTCCCATCGTGTATTGATCTGTGGAAATAGAAATCATGAGAGAGGTTAATGAACGATAAGTCGTCTGAATCTGATCTTCTGTATCTGTTCATGAAAGGTGAGCCGTCTGCCGCTTGCCACGTAAAGCCGCAGTTGACCACACTTCAATAAAAAAACGCCCTGAGTTACATGTGTACATGCTCAGAGAGGAAGTTGCTGTGGCAACACGGCACACGGCAGTTTATGTAACCGGTGTTTGCTGTCCCTAGACTGCTTTGATGCTTATTGACTAGAGCAGAGTTGCGAAACGTCAAGAGTGAGAAGTTAGAATGCTGCGTGTTCAGCAGAGGAATGAGAAACTGCTGTTTACATTTTATGTGGAATGTTCTCTGTATTTCCATCCACACGCAGGGAAAACCCAACTCAAGGAGTTATGAAAAATGCATCCTCTAATTGAACATGTGAAACAGGGCTTTAGTTTATAGATTTGCAAAAAGAAAAGAATGTATCAAGTGACACGACACATTACATATGTCATTACTAGATTCATGCCTGTATTACCAAATACTGAATACTTAATTGTTGACCATTTTGAACTGCATGTATAAAGATCCAGATTTTTCCTTTATTGTTTTATTCTATCTGCCATGCCATTGATTTCTTTCCAAAATGATGTGATATCTAGCAATTGGCTGACTTAAAAAAAGGGTGCAGATATCTCTCATAGTAAAGAACAAGTGTGTATTGATTTGTCAAAGTGTTTCAAAGCATTTCTTGGTGTGATAAACATGAGGATGGTAAACTCATGTTTATTAAGTTAACTGATAACAAATCAATGGAGAAGTTGGTTAATTTTTTCATGAAACCCACCCAGGGGTCCCAAGTGCTTTGTTGAGTTTATATTGTCATAGCATCATTTAATGGGCATTTATTGTATATTATTGCCCGTATTCAATTAAAAAAGAAAAAAGAAATCTTCCATAAAATTTGGCCTGATTTTAACTCAGACAAAGATTTCTAGAAACTTGCAAATCACAAAATGAGTGTTTACTTGGTCTCCCTCCATGATTCGGGAGGCCATCCGCGTGTCCTTATAGTCCGCCAATGACGGCTTGTAGAAGTGGTCATATTTACGCATTTCTTTACGGAAGTTCTTCAAACTGATCCGTTCTCTCGTAAACATTCTTCATTTTAATAACGGCGGCATTGTGCTATGGCTTTCGACGCAAGCCTACAAAAATGGGTCGACGCACGCAAGGATGCAGGGAGGTGTGAAAAGGCACGCAAGGGACACGCATGGGGGTCTTGCGTCTGCGTCGTTCTGAAAACGTAGTAGCATAAACTAGGCTTTACGATATACTGATACAGTATACTGTCGGATATTACACACTGAGCACACACTCTACAAAAATCGGGTAAAAACGAGTTATTTACGGCTTATTAAGCGCGGCTGCAGTGCTTGACTTGTGAGGACATGGCCTTTGTCCTCACAAGTCAGTGCGTATACAGTAAGTAACAGGTGCATATACAGGTGAAAAGTCCTCATAATCCGGAAATACCACACTAATACACACACACACCCTCAGAGGCTGGCAAACCCTTTTTGAACCTGTGAGAGTTTTGGATATATTGGTTGTTAATGGTTACATTTTAAATCGCCAGAAGTTCCCATTTTGGTCCAGGAAGCAAAAATGTTTCTGGAAATGTTCATGTTTTATGGTTCAATTAATCTGCGTGTTATCCTTTGTTTATCTATGAGTATACATAGTATGAGTTTATCCATCAGTAACATTAACAATTGGACATGAAATAAAAAATGTGTGCTGACCACAGTAGAAAAGGGGTATAACACCAAATTGGTGACAGACCAATTTGTATTTTGGTAGTTCTTAAAAAAGTGGAAAGATGCAACCACATAATATTTCTCAGCAAATATACAAACGTACCCACGATGATGCCCAATTATTAGTGTCACTATAACAGCACAAGAGGCATCTTTTCATTATTGATGTCTTGTCTTAAACTTAATAGTGCAAATATCTCTTGTCCCCACAATTTTGGTCCAAGCTCAAATCTAATTTAGAAACCCTGCTATACCACATTCCTAAACTACTTGTTGATTAATACTCTGCAATGAGTGTGCATCAGAAGATGACAGGAAGGTCTGCATCAGGTCCACTTGTGTAACTTAATTCTGAAGAAAGGTGACAGGTTTCATGTAAACGGTATGTACAATTGATTAAATTCTTCTTTTTGAATCTTTCAAAAGAACGGAGAACATTTGGCAAAATGTATATTTAACACATTATCAATGAAGGAAAAATATAGATTAAGGAGTCTCACTAGTAACAAAAATAAACGTGGTGCAAAAGCATGGCGTGTTGCTTAATGTGTCTTTCCTCACCTGTACATATCTCATTCACCTAATGCGCGGGGTAAAGCGCGGGTAACTGAAGCTAAGCTACCAACGCCACCAACACTAACGGAAGGCAAAGCACTCGGCCTAGCTAACATGTTAGCTAACCTAAGTATTGGTTTGTTTGTGTTAGGCCTAGTTTATGCTTAGAAGCAAGAGCCCCTTGCTCGCCTTTTCCCCTCTTCTTGTGTTCTTGCGTGCGTCAACCCATTTTTCTAGACTAGTGTCAAAAGCTACGCCAGCCTCGCACAGCCCTCAAGGCTGTGGCTAGCACCATGTAGCGCTGGAAGCGGCAGTCATCCAGATGCAGTTCATGTAGATGTCTGTGAAATTCACCAAGCTGTCTGCTCCTACAGATGCTATTTAGTACAAAAACACAACTCTATTTTGTGGTCCGACGTGAGTAGAACTTTCACAACAAGTAAAGAGTTGCTATGACAAGTACAAGTACAGATCTGTTTCACGGTGATAGCCCACGCCCCCCTCTCAGTTGCGTCAGGCGCGAATATGTGACACACGCGAATTGACCAGAAATGTACCCCGAGAGACCTGCGGTGCGTTTAGAGCGTTTGAGGCAACACGACACATTCGAACCACGCTGGATATGAACGAATGTACCATAATCATAGATATTGTATCTCTATATGATAGCTCATGATGATCTCATGATTATGATATTCCATCTCATAATTATGACTTACATTTTGGGCACTGATCTGTAAATGAAATAATGATAAATATGAATAGTATTTTTTATAGAGCCAGAAATATATTCAAATAGTATTTTATGAATAATATGCTGCTGCTTTTGAATGTATATTTCAATGTGAAAACTGAGAAAGACTTAAAATTTAAAAAAAATAGACAATTAAGATTTGAAAACATTTAAAGTTACAAAAACACAAATCAAGATTAACAAGTTAGTTAAGTGAGTACATTAGAGGCTGTGTGAATATTGTAGTTATCTCATCAATATACAACATTTAGATACAATGTACAAGTGCACATAGTAAAATATAAAATTATTCACCATGAAAGAGCAGCACAAGAACCGATTGATGGGTTGTCCCTGTGTAGTGGAACCTGAGACCTCTTTAAACAACAGTAAGGCAACAACTCAGTAATTCTCCCATATTTGTTGTGAATCCAAATTTTAGATACATTTGGCAGCATTTTAAAGCAGTGTATCGATATCATGACCCATTTCAAAGGTCTGTTCCAGGGAAACCGTGGATATCGCTGAGTTTTCACTTCCTGACTCGACTGTGTCATCTTCTCCTGAACTTGTGTTTCTTTGTGTATCTGACGGATGCAGATCATTTTCAAAAGCAGGATTTATCTGCCCGCCTATGTGCCGCTTTTGAACATCCTCAAAGATCTGAAGAACCTTCAAATCACAAAAACAAAGGCAGCAGTTTTCGCATAAGCATTCACTGAACTGAAACTGTGTTTCCAGGATGAATAGAACAACAAGGAATGTTACCTTAGATTTGGGAATGAGACCCACTCTGAAGAAACCTATATGCCCCGTTTCAATCTTAGTGCAGTCAACCACAGTAGATGCAATATTCTCAGGGGAGGGTCCATCACATAACACTCCATCCACCTAACCGAGCAAAGGGCATATCCAGTTTGCTGCAAAGAACAGTGCCTCCAGTATTTATTTACATTGAAACAGTGTTCTCACGTTTTTTCCCAGCTTGGCAAAAACTTGGTTGTGGTGAGTTGTGTCTGCCTCACCCGAAGGGTTGGCTGAGGTTACGGCAATGGGGCCCACCTGCAGGAACAAAGTTTCATAAACTTACTAATGAACTTGATGAGTAGCTTTGTTCACTTCAGACACCTTAAGAATTCAATTCCACAGCCCTTACCATATTAATGAGATGTGTGGCCACAGCACAGTCTGGGTATCTGATTGCAATACTTTGTGGAGTCCCGATGTGTTTGGCAGCATCTCCTAAACCAAAGGTGTCCATCCATGGGCCTGTGAAAGGCAAGCAATCAATAGGATACTCATAAAACCCCATTCATGGAAAATAAAGTAACACGAACACAAAATGTTACCCAGATATGAATCCATAAATGCAAACCTACCTCTGGGTATAACCATGCTGATGGAGGAGGGCCACGCGGCCTCCATGAAGTCAAGGAGCAGAGGGCTCAGCAGATGTCGTACTGGCTCCAGCTGTTTGATAGAGGAGATCCACATGGACATTGGGCGGTCCTGCGCCTGTTTCTTCACCCTGTACTCAAGTACAACAATAAGGGAGTCCGGTCATCATATCAGAAGAATGCAGATCATTGCACTCATATGAAAATGTACACTCACTTGAATGCTTTGACAACTGCGTCTGGCCTGTTGCAGGCTGCAACCAGCACGTAGACGGTGTCAGTAGGCATCCCACATATGCCACCGTTTTTCATGATTTCTGCAGGTAAAAAGAAAAATAACACTCATATCAATTTAAAAGCTGTGCATTTTGAAAAATCAACATTTCATTTTTTAACATGAACTCACCTGCAATCTGCTGGACGGATGTGGCTTTGCGGCCGGGTACATGCGGACAGATCTCTGTGCCTCCTCCAACCCCACTCAGCTTGACTAGAGGTTTTCCTAACGGTATTTGCGGTGACTCGAAGGTGCTGTTAAAAAGGTGCGCCAGGAAACTGTAAAAACTGACCAGACCGAAAATTATTGTGACGCCTATGTCGTAACCATAAGGCAGCGCACCTACTGCGTCTAACAGGAAGCTAATGAGGATGAGCTGGAAGGTGAGGGCGTAAATAAACCAAGTGACACTTAGAAACAGCGCTGCAATGGTCACTAGACAATTAAACAGCATGAAGCTGATGATCCCGACAGCCACTTGAAAGCTTCGGGTTTCACCGTAAAAACCGCCGTATCGCGTCAAACCCCACACTGTCCACATCATCCCATACACGATGAAAACTGTGCTCTCAAAAGTTTTACCTCGTGCAAAGGCTACTGAACCACAGAGCAGCTGAAGTGCTCCTCCAGCAATCACTACCCAGGGCAGAACCAGCACAGACAGAGGATGCAGGTCATCAACTGTGGCTGTTACTGCAAAAGCAGCCAGCACATTACAGGCGTGGCCCAACACCTCTGCATCGGCATACTTGGAGTAGCCCAGGTGAGGTACATGTAGATCTTTATCATTGGCCCTGAGAGTAAGACTCTTTATCCTAGTCACTAAAGTCTTGAAATATCTCCGGCCTGTAGGGATCATTGTCGCGGAAACCATATTGAATGTGGTAATGAAAAGCATGCCGGCAGTAAAGACAAATATTGCTCCCTGAACACCCTGGGTGCCTCCTTGAAAGAAACCTCGAGGCTGGGCTGCGATTGCGATACAATATGCTGTAAAGAACAATGGGTAGATCCCCTCCAGCAAACTCTTTTGACAATGGAACAGAGCCAGGATGAAGAAAAGCACAGAGAAGACAACGGGAAAGGGAACGGGGGAGAAAGGCTGAACCATGGGTGATAAGAGAGCGCTGTAGCCCTCTGCAAATCTCAAAAGAGCAGTGAAGCCGTAAAACGTGGCAGCCAGTGTGTCCATGGCCCGGTAGAGGAGGACACACATGCCAAGCTGGAAGACCCCCGCTGTCCACAGCCAGGGCACGTGACCGGTTGAAAGCTGAGGGACCACGCCTAACAAAGGACAGGCTAAGACCGAGGCGGAAAGCAAGTTCATCACCAGACACACTGACACTGCATCATCACACCCTCGGTTCTGCTCGGTTTTCAGCTGGGCTTTTCTCCTCGAGCCCGTTCCAGGAAGCTCCAATTTACCGTGAGTGATGCCGTACAGCAGACGTCCAGAACCAAAGTAAACACCCACCACACAGACCAGAAGGTAGTTTGCAGCTGTTGCAGACTGACCAAAACCTGGAGCTGACAAACCGGCAATTTGATGCGCACTTGCCAAACTTATGCCGACTGCTAAGAGAAATAGAACTGCTTTCTTTACTATAACTGCTACAAAGCCTATAATTAGCAGCGCTAAGGTGAATGCTGCCAGGCCGGGGACCAGAGCGGATCTAAGCTCTGCACGCTGCAGCACCGCCTGCCCCACCAGGATGTACACCAGACCCGAACCCAACCACAGGGCAGAGACAGTCAGACACAGAGATGAAAACAGCTGGGCGTGGGACAGACTGCGAGAGATACCTGAGAAACAGGTGAAAACACAGGAGACCATTATGAGTTTTACAAACAAATGCTAATCTAACAATAATACAAATGAATGAATTCAATCTTGTGATAAGCATTCATCAATCCAACCTGCATAAGCCAAGAGGACTGCAATGACTATTAGCAAAATCCCCAGTGCTGTATAGGGGATGAGTTCTTTTTCAGGTGAGCTGCCATAGCCGTTCACCAAAAGCAGGAGGGAACCTGTGGGTCAGAAGGAAAAACGTACTGGAAATAAATACTAAAGAATCATATTCACTTTTGAATGTACAATTTGACGAAAGGTTAAATATTATCTTGCCCCCTCTATAGAAGAGTGTATTATTATCAGACAACTATTTGATATGAGAAGTGGATTTCTTAAAATAGCTCTCCTAAAGGTTTCAGTTTATCTCATGCTTTAAAAAAAGTGGTTAGGTTTTTAAAAAGTATGTAGTAAACAGTTCACAGATTTGTTTTAACCCCAAGATCATACAGCCAACAACTGTAGTAAAGTCACTATGCAATTCAATGCTTACCGCCAGAGATTCCCAGTATGCCTATGGACCCATGCAGTGAGTATTGAGCCATAGTCGGAAATGAGTCCGCGATACGTGATGCTGAACCTTATAGTCCTCTGCGGCGCGCGGTGTCAGCTGCGCACTGGGCGCACTGAGCCACGCCCACTTACCTCACTTTGAGAAGGAATGCGGCTTTAAGGGATAACGGGTCCGATACCTAACTTCACCTGGCAATTAGTGTGGCGGTTTTCTTTGAGAACCTCGTCGTCAAGCAGACTCATGCACTCAAATACCCTTGTGTTGCTCAAGCACTTGCCCTTTTTCCCTGGCTGAGAAAAGTGCCCCTTCTGCTGGAGCCCAATTTTTTCTTTATTCATCAATATTTAAGAATATAAATTACTCTCTGTATCATTAATTCCCTCCAAATGTGTTTTAACATCTGACGGGGCATTTATTTGAGTTCTTTAGAGAATTTTGCCCTAACATGCTCCCCGGCGCTCACGAGCCCTGCACCGCCTGTCCGCCTCCTCCTCCTCCTATATATTACAAAATAAAGTGCACTAGCGAACAAGTGACAAAGTGACGAGTGAAAACTGGCACGCAATGGCACTCAGTGGCTCTCATTGGCACAACTCGTGGCACTCAGTGGCTCTCATTGGCACAACTCGTGGCACTCAGTGGCTCTCATTATTTCATTGCATGTTTTTTGTATTTTTTTTTTTTTTTTGATACACTACATACTCCCCACCTCTATCTCAAGTCCGACGTATTCCGCTTGGGGGGTTGGGGAGGGGGGTGCAGACGGGGGTGTTCCACGGGGGGGATCGGCGGTGTTCCGCGGGGGAGGGATCGGGGGGCATCGGTGGTGTTCCGCGGGGGGGGAGGGGGGGGTCGGCGGTACAGTAGTACATCAGTGGCAAAAGTGGCAGTTCTGTGGCGTCACGACGGGAATACTTGTACTTCCTTTGTTCAAAGAGTGGAACTAGTTCAGTTTTTTAAATTTATTTTCAGGTTGTTTTTACATGTTTATATTATTTATTGTTACTGTTCTTTTTGTTTACATTTGTCATTTCATATATCCTTCCTGACAGTATCTGCGTCTCATTTAATTCTTAATGGTCCCACTTATGACAACTTCAGCTCTATTGATTAGGCAAATATTTATGCTTTCATGTGTAACTGAATTTCTGTTCCAATAGCACTTTTCATTGAAAACATAACAGAATAAAACAACCTTAAAAAGAGTATTTTTGGAATAAACTCTGACATCTAGAGCTATTATTGTGGCAGCTTGGATATCCTCTGACAAGTGGCAATAGGAAAAATAAGTGCAAGTCCTAGAATAACAAAACAACATGCTCAACAAACCCAATAAATTAAAAAACAAAACACCACTCAAGTCAATAAAAAACAAGAAACAGCTCGGCAGCCTCTCGGATCGAGTGACGCTTTGAGGACGCCTAACAGGTTGCCAATGATTGGCCGGAGTGTCACTGATGTGCCACTGTGGCCACTGAGTGCCACGAGTTGTGCCATTGAGTGCCACTGATGCCACTGATTTACACCGGCGACCCCCCCCCCCCCAACACCGCCGATCCCCCCGTGGAACACTGCCGATCCTCCCCCCGTGGAACACCGCCGTTCTACAAAAACATCTTTACGGGCAGCTAACCTGTCGCACAAACAACGGCCGTTTCCGGGAAAGCCTGGCTCCGCCCACTCGGCGTGGCGTTGCGACGCCCGCCCCTTACTTGACGCGAGTTGTGCCACTGAGAGCCACTGAGTGCCACGAGTTGTGCCAATGAGAGCCACTGAGAGCCTCTGGAGTGCCACTGGCACGCGCCAGTGCCACAAGGAGGATCTCGCTGACTCTCAACAGGGTTTTGTCCGGGGGGAGAGGGCTCCGCTACGATCTTTTTAGCTCGCTTCAGGGTCCTAGAAGCAAACAAGCCCTATAGGGACGGCAGATTGCAGCCGATCACCCTCCTCCTCCTCCTCCTCCTCTTCCTCTTGGTGCTCGTGCGCCAAACGGCTGCAACATCAGACAAAGAGGTGATGACTGTTTGTGCAAATCCCCCCGACCTTGTTTGGTGATAAATTAACCACATCAGCGCAGCTGAAAACATTACGTGCAACTGACCCGACGTTTCCTAAAAAATGAATAAACCTAAAACTCATAAAATACGTGATTTCAAAGCGTGACATGTTCAATGAGGAGAGAGAGGGAGAGAGATACAGACAGACAGACAGAATTAAAGGGCAGTTTTACTTTTTTACAAATTAGACAAGTTCACTAGTTTCGTTTAATTTAATTCAATTATTGAAATGAAAGGTAGGTCTTGAGTTGAGCTACATGACAGTCCGGTGAGATATATTGTGGTATTTTATTAGTGTAATGCTGCTTATGCTTCAACTCAGTAAATAATGATAAAGCACTGCCTCAAGTACCTTAGTGCTTAAGTAATATGGCCTTGTTTTGTCAGTTTTTGATCATTTGAGTAAGTTTGTTTACACAAATAAATACACAAGTTAAAAATATCCTATGGTGTTTATTGATATTTTTAATTTCATAAATAATTTGGGCAATGGGTGCCCTTTATTTTGGTTTGCCCCACAAAATGTCTGTGTTGTGTCGTTATGAGACGGTACACTGTTTTGAATACTACTGTACCTTGGGGCTGACGTGTCTTAACCTTAATGAAAGCTAAATAGCATTTATTTTTATTTGTTTTTATGTTATTTGTATAATCCAAATACAAATATTTCCATATAAATCGTTTTCCTCCAACTGTGTATCGTGAAATGCAGATAAGCATCTCAGTGAGTGACATATACTCAAAGCATCTGTTATTATTTTTCAGTATATATTTTTATTATATAAATGCATGTATGCATCGTTATCAACTCTATAAAGATAATAGTACTCAAGTGACTATACCTCACACACACACACAAATCTATATATTTACATGTATTCATTGAACAACATGTTTAAATGAATATCAAATTACACAGAGCAATGATTCAGCAATGATTCAGTCGTGACGAGGGCAATGATTCAGCATTTTCTCCTCCAATGACCACACCATCCAACCTGTGTTATCTTTAAGCAGGTAGTGGGCGGAGCCAGAGGGGCGGGCAGGACTATAAAGTGTCTGCTTCTGATCTCATACGGCACACCTCGGCTCAAGAGCTCGACTACTAACAGCGACCCACCGCAGAACTACAAGGTAAGATCTAGCTACACTCTCTTCACTTCGCTTAACATAACGGATGCTTTCTCCTAACCTACAGCTAACTAAAATTAACTAACAAACATGTTGATTTTAGTTAGCATTGTATTAAGTGCAGAGAAGCATTGGAAAATGCATGAGGGAATTATTTTTTTTTTAAACTGTATTATTTTTATAGTAATGCATATTTATTCAATATGCATACTCTAACATCTTCCTGTAACTGCGTTTAGGTATCCACAGTTTCAGCAGTAGTCACTCCGGTCACCTGACTCATTTGTGTAACCAAGAGCAACGGGTGGTGCAGGAGCATATCTGATTGGTAAACAACGTTTTATTGGTTCTATAGAAGCCATGTCGAAGCGCGTTGCAGTTATTCTCTCCGGTTGTGGAGTCTACGACGGCACAGAGATTCATGAGGCGTCCGCTGTCCTCGTGCATCTGAGTCGAGCTGGAGCCAAAGTAAGAAAAGATCAGTCTTGACTTATTGCTGTTATATTGTCACATTTCTGTCATTCAGTCCTAATAAGAATAACCCTTGTCCTTAGCATAGTAAATAAGTCTGCCGTGCTTCATTTCAGGTGCAGATGTTCGCTCCAAATTCCGATCAGATGCATGTAGTGAACCATTGTGAGGGTAAACCTACAGAGGAGAAAAGAAACGTCCTGCAGGAGAGTGCCCGCATCGCCAGGGGTGATGTGGCCGATCTGGCCAAGTTGGATGTGTCTGCATTTGATGCTGTCATCATCCCAGGTTTGGCTGAACCTGCCATTAATGAATTCCAAATATTCTCCCTTTTTGTTTTTCTTACCTCAAAAATTGCGATCCTCCTAATGAATCCTGTGTGCTCATATTTTAGGGGGCTTTGGTGTGGCGAAGAACCTGAGTGACTGGGCAGTGAAGAACAAGGCGTTCACCATCCAGCCTCAGTTGGAGAAGATCATCAAGGCTTTCCATAAAGCCGGAAAGCCACTGGGAATGTGCTGCATCGCCTCGGTCCTCGCTGCCAAAGTCCTGCCTGGCTGTGAACTCACTGTGGGAGCGGACAAAGAGTGTGACATGTGTGTAAAACCGTTTTCACATAATTCGTGTACATAGTATTAAAGCACAGTTCTGACTTTCCTTCTCTTTTCACCGTTAGGTGGCCCTACGCTCAGACCGCATGCGCCATGAAGGAGATGGGCTGCAAACACGTCAACACGGAAGTGGAGAAAGCACACGTTGATGTCAAAAATAAACTGGTCACTACCTCTGCATTCATGTGCAAAGCTCCCATTCATAAGGTTTTTGATGGAATTGGAGTCATGGTCAAAGAGACACTGAAACTGGCTTAAGAAGTCTCACATTATGTACTGGATGTTTGTATTCACTTAAACTCATTTTTGTTTTTTGCACACCCATGTTGTCTTACACATACAAATGTATGGTCAACGGGTTGCTCTTATGTTTCAATAAACTAACTACAAATTCTACTTTTGCAATTTTCCTCTTTATTTAAATGTATAAAAGACAAATACTTGAGGATAATCACCTCATAAAACGCTATATTTTGTTTCTTCCTAACCAGAATGAGACCACCTTTGTGACATCTTGTTAGATGAGCAGGTGCTGCTTGTGAAGGAGCATTAAACCACATAAAACCATTTTGAGTGGATTTACATACCTCATCTTTTATTTTGCCGGTCTTATAGTGATCCTAAAATAATGGCAACAATACACAATCTTAGAAATGGTCGCAGTTTAAAAAGTATCAGTTGTTGCGTCAGGTAACTTTTATTCCTTGTAAAATCTTGTTTAATTTAATCAATAAATAATTGGTGTTTAACAAGAATACTATTTATATGCTGAAGGCCACAGTGCTACATTATAGGGATCAAATATAGAAATACACACTTAAACACTCAAAATGTTATCTTTGACACTGAACTAGAAACGGGATACAATCAATTTTGAGGATTACAACTTAGATTTGCAGTATATTATTCAACTCTACTCACATCCAAATTTACCCTCACTATTATAATTCATAACTTATTATTATCACTTAATTCTGTATGATGTGCATCTAGTGCATATAGTGACATTGTTTAATAAATAAACCTTATGCTTTACTGTATGGAAGATTCTTGTATGCGTAACATCAGGCTGAAAAATACATGAATTTACAGAATTCTTGCAGTGTGGTGTGTGTTCTTGTCTCAGGTCTCAGGTCTTAACTCTGG